CCCACACCACATTTGCACGACCCGATAACATGTGAATTTCACAATAAGCTAGAACCACCAACGCGGCGCGTCGGTGAGCTAGTCACCAGCACCGGCTGTAGCAGGATAACCATACCGAAGCAGCGCATGAGCATACGAGTTCGACGTGGAGTGGTGGTCTCTACAAGATGAGATGACGTTATCTGCTGGGTTGCTACTCTTACGTTGTCTTGCTTCCAGCGTGTCTTAATTGCCTTCGACATTTCATGACACTGACACACAACAAACTGAAAAAAGCCCATCTTACCCGTCACTCGCTGCGCGTTTTGCCGTCTTATCGGCTTCAGAGCGCACCCACACCAATTGCTGTCTGGCGTCAGAGTCCCGTGAATCTTAACAAGCGGCTCGATTGCAGTCGAACTCGGCACCAGACATTATTGCATAGGACTATAGGCTAGGCTCACACTTTGCATTTCCTTCTCTTTCGAAATGCTCCCGTGCAGCTCACACAACTAGACCCAAATGGCTTGCGGCTCGAAGAACGCCTTTTTCGCGAATCGAAAATCATTGCTCGCACCGATCAGCCTGCGGCCAGCATTCGTGCTCGCCGTCACGGATCCCGCTCACGGTAAGACTCGTTCTCAGCTTGCGACGTGCTTCTGGAAGCGGAAAGTCCCCCGCAAATTTCTACCCCAAGGTCACATTAGGGTTACCCCGGGGAGTGATAACCCAGTGTGACCGACAGTGATACCCCGATGTTACCGCACTCCGATGTTTAGTTCGTTGTCACACTGATGTGACCCACAGCGGTGACCCACATGTTACCCACGAGCCACCCCCCAAAAAGTTGGGGCCCAATTGCATGCGTTCCCGCCTCTCTCGGACCCACCTTGAACGCGAGCCGCATCTGCGTTGTTGAAGTCATCGCGTTTAGCCAAAATGTTGTCTACAGCGCACTACGTTATTTTGCGGCTATATACTACGCGTACAAGAAAGACATCCCGATATAACCACAATTATTAATGATAATAAATAATTTGCGAGAACCTTTGTTATGGGGGTTGGGCAGTAAATTGCCAGTATATGTTTGCAAGCACATTATACCAGCGACACCTAGCATGTCTGCAAAGGCAAATTACTATAGCTTTGTTTGATTAATATTGGAAATCGAACATGAACAAATTGCAGTGAGACAATTCATCGTATTTCACTATCCTCTGCACGTGCGAAAAACAGATCACAAGATACAGCAAAAACACTAGAAAGTGGCTGACCAAGTGGCAGATCTTCCAATAACGTGTGACACCTGGAAGCAATGGAAAACGGGGAAACGATGAAACAGCTAATGTCAAGAGCTCGTTAAGGAAGAAAGCTGAAACTAACACTTAACAATAGCCAAAGCACGAGAGTAGCCAATAGGCAAAACCAAACCGGATAACTATTCCAAAAGCAGCGCATTAATGCAATAACTCCTGAACGCACACAAAGAAATAAGGAGCGCCAACAGAGCACAACGGCTGGCCGCCGAATGGAATTGGCGCGACATAAAACAGGTGAATTACGGGAATCTTGGTCACCTCGAATGCACATTCTAGACCTCTACACATGAGCGCCTGGCACGACGGTAGACGACGCCTGCAAAGGAACATACTTGGCGTGAGGAAACAATAAGCAACTGACGATACAAAAGCACATTAACATGCACGCCTACAATCGCCAGGGTATTGACGTTTCTTAACAACGGAAAGAGTAAACCCGAAACTAAGCTACTTATCGTTCAAGCATAATCTCCAGCAATGTGTAGGAAATCTAGGCAGCGGAAAATGCGGACATGGTGGCGAGAAGAACAAAATCCTTAGGAACTTGAAAAGTTGCCCCAAAACCGTGAGGCACACTATAAAACCCGAAACCCCGCTGACAAATGTATACTGGAGCTTTAAGAGAAATCCTAGAACTCAACAGCTTGGCAGCATAAAATAATGAGGGAAGTGGGCAAAATGGGGTTGTGAAATACATCCAGGAGGGACTCTTTTGCTGAAGTGACTAGGACAAATGTGATTGGTGCACGAAATCCTTGCTGCCACCTAGCGAAACACATCAGTAGAACCTCAATACAGAGAATCTTGATACCTCGAAATCATTGTTGAAAATAGCTTCTGTTATCATGATAAAAACGTGTACAGTTTCTGGGGTCAGCTATGGTTGCCGAAACAGTGTGCACCAACCAAGTGAGCAAGCTCGATCCGAAGCTGTGGGGTTATCCCCTGGGTTACAACGAACTAAGCCACGCCCTGTTTGGTCATTTTCCTTCTCCTGAAATGTCAACAACGTGAATTACCACTTCGCCATAGATCGCCCGCCACCAAAGGTATCTTGCGGGTGTCTTGGTGGGAACTTCAGGTTACCCCCCGAGGGTGACCTGGGGGTATCCCACGCTCTCGAGGCGATTTCTGCCTCGAGATTTTTGGGATGGGGGGTGGGCTGCGCCGTGAGTGAGGTGGGGCCGTAGTTCCATGCGATGGTGCATGCGATGGCCCTGTTCGCCACGTCCTTTGTGGACCTTCAAAGGGATGGGGAGGGTCCTGAATCCCCCTTGCACCTTCGTAAAGGGCTGAAATCAGGGTTTTGGGGGCGGTCAGACCGACAAAATCCTGTCGAGCCTGACGATCCCCTCCAAACCTCGGTGGGCTTGCTGTCGTGGCAACACCCACCTTTTATGGGTGGGGCGGGGGATCTCGAATGAGCAGGGCAGTTTCCTGCCCTGCCAACTGGGAATCCCCTCCCCTCCCTCGTGGCACCCTCGTGCATACCACCCGCTCTGTCATTTTCTCCGTGCTTCACAATCGCAGTCAGCGCATGCATTTCCCTGAGATTGCGTATAAGCGCTACACCTACTATATGATCGTTCCTAAATTGTGTTCCCTTGATATGCCTGGCTGGTGTGAGCGATGCTTAGATTCTATGAGCGAGTGACTGAGTTTTTAGCTTGTTCTGTTGGTGAAGTAATTTTCTACTCTGCTCCAGCTCTGTGAGGTGGTAAGCAGGTTGTCTGCGAATTGTTGGGTTGCAACGTCTCATATCCTCTCGTTGACTCATGGGAGATCGCATCATTTTTCGCTAACCTGCCACCTTTCGCAATTCTTCCGCACCTCATATTGCTGAGCCCCAGACCTACCAAACCTAGCGTTGACTCAGTTTTTGAAATTCAGGCTTCGGGTTTTAAGGAAGGAGGGAGGGAGGTGCTCCATCCCCTTGTCCCCCTTCCCGAACCAGGGGCGAGCCCTCGGACGTAATTGGCAATTTCGTTTGCACCTTCCGGATCCCCTCGCCCATCCCCCACCCCTAGCGTTCACGTGGTCGTGGCGAACAGGGCCGACGCTCAATGGGTGTGAGGCTGGGGCCGTGAGGGGCGAGGCAGGGGAGTGGTTGCGGCGTCACGTGCACGGATGAGTGCCAAACCATGGCTGTGCCTGTGCTGCATTGTGCGGCAGGAAGCAAGTGAAGGCCATAGCTTCACAGGAGTGAAGGTGTGAGTAAGGGAGGGTGTGAGTGAATGAAGGTCACCTTTACTCCCGTGAGTGACGGTGTGAGAGGCGGAGGCAGGCATGCAATAGCATTGGGGATTGTAAGCGCCGTGCGTGCGAGGCAGCGTGACCAGTTCAGTTCGCAGATGCGACGTCCTCGTTGCCAGACTGCCTTGCCCAAGCACTCTCCAAGTTTCCCTCTCATTTCCTCACTCACTCGTCCTCTCCCATCTTCTTCCAGTCATTCTCAAACTTTCGCCTGGTCTCCCCACCCCACCCCTCCCCTCCCCCCTCCCCCCTTCTCCCGCCCTTCCCCGTCCCTCTCGCCGTCCACCAGCGACTTGCAGGATGCGGGCCTCACGGGCGATCTGTCCACCGTCGTTTTCCAGGTCACCTCGCTGCGTTCGCTGTGGGTCGCCCCCGCACACGCTCTATCCCTCGACCTCTTTCTGTCCATACATTTATCAGAATGCAATGCTTATTCCCTTCCCCCCCTTCTCTCTCGCACCCCATGCACCACTTGACCTGCGCATGACACGAGCACATCACCACGCGCGCATCGCCACGCGCGCATCACCATCGCGCATCGCCACGCGCGCATCGCCAAGCGCGCATCGCGACGCACGCATCGCCACGCGCGCATCGCCACGCACGCATCGCCACGCGCACATCGCCACGAGTCCCCAGGGGGCACGACCCCCCTAGCGTCAAGCGCTCACCTTCCCCCTCACTTTCGCCACTGCTGGCTCTTTGCTTCCCCCTGGGCTCCCCCTACCCGACCTGCCACTTCCCCTGTGCTCTCCCCCCCACCCCCTTGCCAGCAATCTGGCGTTGGATCCGAAGCTCACAGGCAGCCTGCCTGACGCTCTTGGCAACCTCGCCATGCTCACATTGCTGTGAGTGCCATGCTCACATTGTTGTGAGTGCCATGCTCACGCTGCTGTCACCCGACCGCACCCCGCACTGCCCCTGCGGTCACCTGCACTGCCCCTGCGGTCACCTGCACTGCCCCTGCGGTCACCTGCACTACCCTTGCTGTCACCTGCACTGCCCCTGCTGTCACCTGCACTGCCCCTGCCGTCACCTGCACTGCCCTTGCGGTCACCTGCACTGCCCCTGCCGTCACCTGCACTGCCCCTGCAGTCACCTGCACTGCCCCTGCTGTCACTTGCACTCTATGTGGAGAAAGACGCGTCCTGCGTCTAGGACGCATGCGTCCAGTCGCATGCGTCCAGACGCAGGACACAAGATTCAGGCTGATGAGACGCAGCAAAAGACGCAGGCCCGGGCAGGCAAAAAAAAACCCCCGGGCAGCCCAAAAAAATAGTTATAGGTTAGAGGGAAGTGGGGGAATAGGGCCGTAGCCCACTTTCATTGCAAAATTTAACCCCAAAGACAAAATTTTCCCCAAAAGTTATAGAGCATGGTGAGATGCAAATCTCCAATGTCACAAATAATCCAATCATGGTTTTGCATGCATACTAACACTAACATGCATCACTCATCCTCATCCTCCTCCTCCTCCTTCTCCTCCTCCTCCTTCTCCATCTCTTCCTGGTCCTTGTACTCGTCCACACACGGGTCGTCCTCGTCCACCTCCACCTCTCCATCCTCCTCCAGCTTGTACCCCTCGGGAAGGGGAGGGGTGGGAATGTTCCCCTCCACTATCCCCATCTTCCTGACTTCCCGACTTGGCCCTGCACCAGCTGCACCCTTGTGGTAGTTGTGCACAGCGTTCCAGTTGTGCGCAACGAACACAAGGTCGCGGACCTTCTCCGACCCCATCCTGTTCCTGCGCGCCGTGTGCACGCCATCCCACATAGACCATCCCCGCTCGCAAGGGGAAGCGGAAACGGGCTGTGAAAGCGCCCGGCACGCAAGGCCAGGCGGATCGGCGTACTCCCAGCCGTTCACCTTCCACCACATCACCATGTCCCCCCTCCCGGCCTTAATATCCGCACGCCCCTCTTTTGCCTCCTCTGACCCAAAGCACCCCTTGCCCTCAATATATGCAAGCATCCCTTCCTGTAGCGCCTTCATGGTTCCCTTTGTGTCGCCGCCGCTCTTCCAATATTTGTCGACGAATGCCCGCGAGCGCTGGAGCCACGCCTTCATCACCCTCGTGCACTCAACGTCCTTGTGGTAGATCCCCTCGTCCTGGTTGGCCGGGTTCAAAATCCGGCCAACCAACTGAAGGGGGCAGGCCAAACTCTCGTCCCAACGCCGCCTCAAGTGCTCCTTCACCCCCTCCTTATCCACCCTCTTGAGCCCAGAATCATCCTTCTCCAACAGCTCCCGCAAGTCCTCCGTCAGTTGCAGCATGATGTCGTACAACTCACCCATCCTCCCCTTCGCCTCCCCATCGGTCCGCCTCATCACCTTGTAAGGCAGCTCCATCACCTTCACAAATGTCTTCGCCTTCTTCCACCACTCCACATCCAACACTGACGCCGCAAATGTCTTTCCAGTCAGCGTGCTACCTCCCTTCTCCTCCCAGTCCTTGTGCGTCACCATCTGCGTCAACTGCGAATGAATCTGGAGCAGCCGAGACACAACGATGAAGTTCGTCCCAAAACGCGTGCCCGCCGATCGCAGCGGCTGCAGCGACCTCTCCTCGCCGTGCAGCTCGGGACACCGCAAGAAAGCACGCGTCCACGTGTGGCTGCGCACGAACGAGATGATGTCGTTCGCAACCGGGACAACCTCCTGCGCCCAATCCATCTTGCCGATGTCCTCCATCAGCAAGTAGAGCACATGAGTGGCACAGGGGACGATCTCGAAATGCGGGTACATCTTCTGCAGCAGCTTGCCGGCGGACACGTAGTTGCTACCGCCGTCCGTGCAAAAAGCGACGACGTGCTGTGGCCCAATCTTCTCAATGATCGGCTGCAGAATGCTCACGATAAACGCCCCACTCTTCGTCTCCGCCTTACAGTCGACCGCTCCCTGGAAAACCGCGCCGCTGTCGTTGATACAAATGATATTCATCTGCTCGTGCCCGCTCTTATCCCGCATCAGTTTCACATAGCTTGCACTGCCCCTGCTGTCACCTGCACTGACCCTGCAATAATCATTCGCACGCATCCACCAGTTCACCATCTCCCAACCTTCCTTGCTCTCCCCTCTGCCCCCTCAGCAACGTGCACGGGTGCAAGCTGACAACGTCCAATCCGGCCCGCCCTATGCCTCCCCCTCCCCGTGTGTCCCCTCCCCGTGTGCCCCCTCCCCGTGTGTCCCCTCCCCGTGTGTCCCCTCTCCGTGTGTCCCCTCCCCGTGTGTCCCCTCCCCGTGTGTCCCCTCCCCATGTGTCCCCTCCTGGTGCGCCCTTTCCATCCCCTCCATTCAGAGACGTGCACGGGTGCAGCCTCACGGGGTCCATCCCAGCCACAGTGGGGCGGCTGGCGAGCCTCATGTTCTTCCTGGTCAACCAGAACGGCCTGTCAGGCTCCATTCCAAGCACAGTGAGCGCGCTGCAGCAGCTGTACATGTGGGACATCATGGACAACCGCATTGAAGGCACTGTTCCATCCTTTGGGGGCGCCAGCGAGCTTGTGTACCTGTGCGTGGGGTGTGGGGTGTGGGGTGTGGGTGTGGGTGGGGGTGGGGGTGTGGGTGGGGGTGGGGGTGGGGGTGGGGTGGGGTGTGGGTGTGGGTGGGGGTGTGGGTGTGGGTGGGCTTGTGGGTGTGGTAAGGCTGTGGTAAGGCTGTCGTATGGGTGTGTTGTAGGTGTGGTATGGGTGTGGTATGGATGTGGCATGGGCGTGGTATGAGTGTGTGGGTGGATATGCAAGTGAATGGTACACCTTTGCCCTCCCACTAATAAAATGAGACCCTGTAACCAGCACAAGTCGGTTCTCTTTTGCGCGCTTGTCTGTCCCTTGACTCTCGTCCCTTGATGCCTGTCTCCTGACGCTTGTCCCTTGTCCCTTGACGCTTGTCCCTTGACGCTTGTCCCTTGATGCTTGTCCCTTGACGCTTGTCCCTTGATGCCTGCCCCCTTCATTCCTCTCCTCTTTCTTCCCCTTCCCTACTCTCTCTCGCCCACCAGCCACATGAGTCGCAAACTGCTCACCTCACTGCCGGATCACATCAGCTGGCTGCCCAAGCCACGTGTGAGCGTCGGCACACAGCAGAGCACGTGTGAGTGGTGGAACACAGTAGATTGCGTTGCGAGCATTTGATGGTTTTATGTGTGCCTCTTGCAGCCACACTGCACGCCACTCATTCCCGCATTGACACACTGTTAGATGATAATCTTCATTGTGACCTGCCTCTATCTTATAAACCTTTGTTAGAGATGAGCACCCAAACTTAGTTTGTGCCCCTTGCACTCTCTGCCCCTTGCACTCTCTGCCCCTTGCACTCACTCTCTGCCCCTTGCACTCTCTGCCCCTTGCACTCTCTGCCCCTTGCACTCGATACCCATTCCAGCTATGTACTGCATGCTGCGGCCGAAGCCAATCCATGCATCTCTCTGCGTATGCCCCTGTGCACTGCACCCCTCACACCCCTTACACCCCTTGCACCCTGCTGCACTGCACCCTGTCAGAACACTTGCACTGGGGATGCCCGAGAGATCCTAGGGAAGGGTTACAGGCCCGTTGGCCTGGGGGGTTATGGGCGCACTGACCCGCTACTTAACAAGCCCTTTTATCCCAGTGGTCTAGTGGCTGGGATTCTGACACACCCCTCTCCCTTCGGGCCCCCCCTTTTTCCTTCCCCGCAGCTACTGGAGTAACAACGTGCTGCCCAGCCTGGCCACCACATGGTTCCTCCCCAAGCTCATGGACCTGTGAGTGCCGCCCCTTGTTCAAGGGTTTAAGGGTTAAGCATGAGAAGTGATGGCAAGCATGAGTGGAGATCCCTAACGTTTGCATTTTTTGTTCATATGTGCGCGCTTGCGTTTGTGTGAGTGTGAGTGTGCGTGTGTGCGTGTGTGTGTGTGTGTGTGTGCGTGCGTGTGCGTGTATGTCTGTGTGCGTGTGTGTGTTTGTGTGTGTATGTGTGTGTTCTTGTGTGTGTCTCCCCATACGTGCCCCTCTCTCCCCGTGCTCCAGTGTTGTCAGTGACTATTCGCTACCACCCCAAACACTGCCATCCTTCCCGATCTCTACCGGCCTCGCCAACCTGTGAGCCCTAATCCTCTCATCCAAATCCTTTCGCCCATCTCTCAACCCAGCTTCCCTTCCCACCCTGGCAAGCATATTCTCAGTTATTCTCCCAGATTTCAACCATACTCCCACCTTCCACCCACACTCCTGCCCACCTCAACCCCACCTCCCCCCACCCCCCCAACCCCCCACCACCCCCCTACAAACCCCCCCGAAACCCCCAACCAAAGCGACCTGAGCAACAACTTCTTCATTGGTGGCATCCCCACAACTCTCTTCCAGCAAAACCCCAACCTCATCAACCTGTGAGCGTCTCCGTACGCACTTTGCACCTTTCGGTACCGTTCTGCAAGGTTAAAAATTTCGGCTGTAAGTTTTGAAACTGCTCTACGATTTCTCTCAAGAACCTATTTCATGTTAAAAACAAAAACATGAAAACGACCGTTTTTTTTTACCCTTGCCGTTCTCTTTTGGAAAGTATTCCCCCTATCCAAGTTGTGCTGCGAGTGTTGCCGTGCTGCAGCTGCCACTGCCGTGGCCTCATCAGTTGGTGCATCTGGTGTCGGGTGGACGGCCGTGCTGACTCTCCTTTTTCTCTGCCCTATCCTCCCCCTCCCGCTACAGCAACCTGGCCAATAACGAGCTCAGCTTCTTCCTTCCCCAAGAGATCCCAGCTGCAATCCCTGTGAGCCACCAACCCCTGTGAGCCACCAACCCCTGTGAGCCACCAACCCCTGTGAGCCACCAATCTCAGTTCAGACTTATCGTGGCATCAACCTTTACGCCTTACACTGCCTTGCTCTTCAAACCCCCTTGCTCTTCACACTCCCTTGCTCCTCACACTCCCTTGCTCCTCACACTCCCTTGCTCCTCACACTCCCTTACCCTTCACACTCCCTTGCTCCTCACACTCCCTTGCTCCTCACACTCCCTTACCCTTCACACTCCCTTGCTCTTCACACTCCCTTACCCTTCACACTCCCTTACTCCCCACACTCCCGTACCCATCACACTCCCTTTCTCTTCAGTCCTTCGCTCCTCTGACTCCCTTATCTATGCCCACCTGTGCGCCCATCTGTGCCCGCCTGTGCGCCCATCTGTGCCCATCTGTGCGCCCATCTGTGCCCACCTGTGCGCCCATCTGTGCCCACCTGTGCGCCCATCTGTGCCCACCTGTGCGCCCATCTGTGCCCATCTGTGCGCCCATCTGTGCCCATCTGTGCGCCCATCTGTGCCCACCTGTGCGCCCATCTATGCCCACCTGTGCGCCCATCTGTGCCCACCTATGCGCCCATCTGTGCCCACCTGTGTGCCCATCTGTGCCCACCTGTGCGCCCATCTGTGCCCACCTGTGCGCCCATCTGGGCCCACTTGTGCGCCCATCTGTGCCCATCTGTGCGCCCATCTGTGCCCACCTGTGCGCCCATCTGTGCCCACCTGTGCGCCCATTTGTGCCCACCTGTGCGCCCATCTGTGCCCACCTGTGCGTCTATCTGTGCCCACCTGTGCGCCCATCTGTGCCCATCTGTGCCCACCTGTGCGCCCATCTGTACCCATCTGTGCCCACCTGTGCGCCCATCTGTGCCCACCTGTGCGCCCATCTGTGCCCACCTGTGCGCCCATCTGTGCCCATCTGTGCCCACCTGTGCGCCCATCTGTGCCCATCTGTGCCCATCTGTGCCCACCTGTGCGCCCATCTGTACCCATCTATGCCCATCTGTGCCCATCTGTGCCCACCTGTGAGCCCATTTGTGCCTCACCACACGGCAGGTTCTTGGCGGACAGCCACCTCACCTGTCCCAACATCCCACCTTTCCACCCCTGCCCACCTCTGCCCACCTGCCCACCCCTCTCCACCCATCTTCACCCCTCTCCACGTCTCCCCACATGGCTGGTTCCTGGCAGACAACAAGATGATGGGCGCCATTCCGGACATGTCAGGCTTGACGAGCCTGGTGGCGCTCTCCCTTTACGACAACGATTTCACTGTCGTGCCACCCCGCCTGCTCAACCAAACCAACGTCACTCTGCAGTGAGTGTCGTGCAGCTCGGTGCAGTGAGTGCAGTGCAGTGAGTGCATGGGCATTGCCACCACCATCAGCTTCACACCTTATATGCTCCCTTCCTCTCCTCTTCCCCTTCCCTCTTCCACTCCCTTCCACCCCACCCCCCCACTCCTCTCCCCCCCAGGCTCTACGGCAACGAGCTATGCAAGCCCTTCTGAGCGGGGATCTACCAGCAGTGCTCGCCGCCGCGGGCACTCAGGCAGTTCATTGCGCCACCCTTGTGCCCCGCGCTCGTGTGCGCCAGCGACCTCTACCGCGCCAGCCAGCCGCTCTTCCGCAGCACGCGCGAGTGCACGTGCGTGTCACCGCTGCGCGCTGACCTGGGGCTGTACCTTACGGACCTCGTCGTCTTCTCCACTGAGCTCGTCCGGCACCTCGAGGAAAAGCTCGTCTCGGAGCTGTCGGGCAGGGCACGCATCAACATCACTCGCAATCAGGTGTGCTGCACCCCGCTGCCCTGACATCAGCTGCCATAGCTCCACTGGTTTAGACAAACACTGTTGGCATAACCGTACCTCATGCTCATTGCCTGACCAACCAATTTTTGGCCCGGGTGGTCTAGTGACTGGGTTCAAATGGCATGTTTGTGTGGTGGGTAAGTCAAGACAACCATAGATCCTCAGGACGACCTGTAGCGCCCCTACACTCAACCAATAATCTCCTCACTGGCGCACACTGGGATTCGCACCTTTTGGCTCTGATACCATTTGTTGGCCCATCTCGCTGATTGGGCTAAACGGGCATGATTGTTTGGTGGGTAATACACCCATAATCCCCCACGATGCATCTGTAGCCCTCTTATACTCAACAGGAGAAAAATCTCAACGCTCCACTTACACTCCCCCTTCCTCACTTGGAGTTCGTTAGGGCACTTGCACTCATTGGCGCACGAAGGCCCCACCAATATCATTCACTCTCAGTTCTCACGTCAACCAGTCACTCCACCCCAACCATCATACACTCCCATCTTGCTTTAACGTATTCACCCCGCACTCATGTACCCACCCCGCATTCACATACCCCACAGGGCATTCACGGTACCCAACATGCCTTCACATACCCACCCCAACTATCTTCCTCCCTCCCATCACGCATTCACTTACCCACTACGCATTCACTTACCCACCCCGCTTTTACCTATTCACCCCACAGGTGCAAGTGACGGGCATCAGCAGCCGTGCTTCCCTCGCCTCGCTGGCGTCAACATTCGCGTCGGACCACACCACACACGAGTCTACGCTCATCATCACCGCGCTCTTCTTCCCGCCTGCCGCCGACGACTCCTGGCTCCCTCGCGACACGCCACGCGCCATCCGCACGGCCCTCTCCACGCGCGAACCGTCGCTGCGCGCCAATGTGGACGAGTTCGGGTCGTACCGCATTGAGGCCTTCTATGGGCCCGCTCGTGAGTGCTGGGGGGGGAAGGGGGGAAAGGAGGGTGAGGGAAAGGGGGGATGGTGGGGTGGAGGGGATGAAGATGGGAGAAGGGGGAGAACCAAGGAGGAAAGGGGGAAGAAGGGGGAATGGGTAAAAGAAGGGAGGAGGGGGGAAAGAGTCCCTGAACACGACACCAACATCCCCCCAGGCCTGCTTCACTTCCAACCCTTGAGACTTGTCAAAACTGAGAAAGAACACTCACATGTGCCACCACACTTCATACCTGCCACCTCCTCTCAACCTCGTTCCACCCTGCTTCCACACGAACTATACCCTCCCTGCTTTCTTCCTTTGTCCTTCAGCAGTGTTTCTCCTCTCCACCCTTCCACCCATTCACACACCACTATATGGCCCACGCCTCTCCCGAGCAGCCACATCAGGGCTGAGCATAGGTGCTATCAAACTGACTTTGGCGTTGACTTAGAAGTCAGGACTTGAAATTCTCCTCCTCAAACCCTTCACCCCTCCCCAATGCATCACCTTACAGCCTTCACGCCCTCGGGGCAGCCCGCATCATCGGGGCTGAGCACGGGCGCCATCGTGGGCATCGCTGTGGGCTGCGCGACCGTTGTCATCTCGCTCGTGCTCGTGCTGCTCCTCCGCCCCTGGGAGAAGCGAGGTGAGCCGGCAAGGTGGGAGACGGGAGGTGAGCGGTGGAGGTGGGAGAAGTGAGGTGGAAGGGGGGAGGGCAAGCTGGGTGGACGAGGGTGAGCCGGCGAGGTGGGAGGGTGAGGTGGGATGGCGGGTATCAAGGAGGTGGTGGGTAAAGAGGTGAGGCGATGAGAAGGGAAGGAAGTTGAGAAACGCGTGGTGTCCTACTCATTGCTCATGTGCTGTCCGCAGAGAGTCTCTCTACAATAGGAGTAGACTATGTGGGAGGCTACGGGTTGTACGGGGTGATGGTAGCGCTGCCTAACGATTGTTGTGCTGGTAGACAAAGTTGACAAGAGCTTCACTAGCAATAGTTGAATTTAACAAGCGTACAATGGAATGGCAAAGTCAACATACCAACAAAGGCATTGCAACACATCTAGCAACCTAGCAAGACGACTTGCCAAAACCGCACGACAACGGCTTGCAAGCGTTGCAGCAATCGGCTTGCCAGCGCTGCAACAAGGTGGCCTGCCAGCATTGCAGTCGCAGGTGAACAAGCACGAACCTTTGCAGCACCTACCAAAGTAGGTGCAGAAATGCACAACAGACGATTGTATGTGATGCACATTGCGCATGTGCCAGGTTGTAGAGCACGTGATGCTGTTTCCTAGGGCCGACTTTTACCGAAACTGCATGAGGTGAAATTTGCTCACATGAAGAATTTCAACCACGAGTAATTTTGGTCAACCAAGTCGCCGCTCGGTCAACGCTCGGTCAACGTTACCGACATGTTAATGACGTTGGCCGGCGCCCCGTCGGCGATTATTTTCGTCGACCAGTGAGACTCGGCGCCGCCCGCCGACTTCATGTCGTCGGCCAGCGCCTCGTCGGCATTCTCTATCGCCACTTCGAAATTCCTGTCAATGCCGACGAGTTAATTTTGCCAGCGGCTGTTTAATTGCACTTCAAACAAAGTCCCATAAAGACGGCGATGACCACGAAATGCAGCCGGTTGCACACATTCGCGCACCAGACAGCGAGGTCGAATTTGCCCAAGCGAGGGCGGGGCCATTCTCGTCAACACTGTCCTAATCATAGCAAATGTGCTGTCCTACTCATCGCACATGACAATCATCGATGCAAGTAGTCTGCCGTGCGTAGAGCAGTGCGGACTATAACGTGCTTGAAGGCATTGTTGTGCGGCTCGTTCGTTCCTTTCTCCCCCCCTCCCCTGAACCGCCCCAATTCGCCCTTCTATTCCATTCACCCTTTTTTCCCATTCATCCCTCTCACCAATGCACCCTTCTTTCCCATTCATCACTCTCACCAATGCACCCTTCTTTCCCATTCAGCCCTCTCCCCCATTCACCCCTTCCCCCCGTCCGTCTTCTCCCATGCTCGCATCGCCCCTCCCAGGGTGGACCCAAGCGGACTACAAGGATTTGGCCGGCATCAACCTGCGTCAAGCGCGGCGCTACTCGCTGGAGGAGCTGCAGCGCGCCACCGACAACTTCGACAACCGGCACGTGCTGTGGGAGGGCGGATTCGGCAAGGTACGAGTGGGGGAGGGCGGATTCGGCAAGGTACAAGTGGGGGAGGGCGGATTCGGCAAGGTACGAGTGGGAGAGGGCGGATTCGGCAAGGTACGAGTGGGGGAGGGCGGATTCGGCAAGGTACGAGTGGGGGAGGGCGGATTCGGCAAGGTACGAGTGGGGGAGGGCGGATTCGGCAAGGTACGAGTGGGGGAGGGCGGATTCGGCAAGGTACGAGTGGGGGAGGGCGGATTCGGCAAGGTACGAGTGGGGGAGGGCGGATTCGGCAAAGTGGCATCGTGACTGGTGCCTGGTGACTGGTGACTGGTGACTGGTGACTGGTGACTAGTGACTGGAGGCCCTTTGACACCCAGCCGTTTTTACCAGCCGACTTCTCTCCGCCCTCCCCCTTCCCTCCCATGTCTGCCAGTGTATCACAGGGTTCTGAAGGAAAGGTACTGGTGACAAGCAATGCAGCATAGTCGCCCCACACCTCATTCTCCCTTCCTCTCTCCTCCCTCCCCCCATCCCCTCATGGCCACCAGGTGTACAAAGGGGTGCTGAACGGTGAGGAGGTGGCGATAAAGATGGCGACGAAGCAGCACCAGCACGGGGGGGTGCAGTTCAAGAACGAGATTGAGACCCTCACGGCCGCGTCTCACAGCAACCTCGTGCGCCTCACAGGCTTCTGCGTGGAGAGGGACGAGCAGCTGCTGGTGTTCGAATACATAGAGGGCGGTGCTTTGAACAAATGGATCATGGGTGAGTTTCACATCAGCTGTAGAGCCTGCCTGCTTTTGCTGCTGCCATGTGCTGCTATGTTATGTATTGAGCGATGCACCTGTTGTGCATATCATCCCACCCCCTTATCATCCCCCCTTGCACTCCCTATCCTGTGTGCCATGCATCATCCTTTTCTTCCTGTGCTTTCTCCCTCGCCCATCCCTTTCCTCTCTCGATCCACTCCCACACTGCTGCCGACGTCGTGACAGGCAAACAGGGTCGCAGGCTGACGTGGCAGGAGTGGATACACATCGCCCAGAACGTTGCGAGTGCGCTGCGCTACTTGCACCGCAACATGGAGCCTGCCATCATACACGGCGACATCAAGGTGAGGCCGTCCATGCCTTGCTCACTCTTCATCCGTCATTCTTTGAGATGAAGAAGCATGAATGACTGAAGTGTGCGAAGGTGTTTCTGAGCCGATCCTTCTTGTGGATACCAGAATTTACTCCTTGGAGGCTCACTCAACGTTGCTCTTCCCCCCTCTTTCCTGGCGGGAGGCAGCCGGAGAACATCCTGCTCACGGCAGGGCAGCCCATGCAGGCGAAGGTGGCCGACTTTGGGACGTCCAAGACCCTGCCGGAGCACGGCGAGCTGGAGTTTGGGACGGGCGATACGGTCATCATGACCAAGGTGAGAGGAGATCATGATGACCAAGGTGAGAGGAGATCATGATGACCAAGGTGAGAGGAGATCATGATGACCAAGGTGAGAGGAGATCATCATGACCAAGGTGAGAGGAGATCATCATGACCATGATGAGAGGAGATCATCATGACCATGATGAGAGGAGACCATCATGACCACGGTGAGAGGAGATCATCATGACCAAGGTGAGAGGAGATCATCATGACCATGATGAGAGGAGACCATCATGACCACGGTGAGAGGAGATCATCATGACCAAGGTGAGAGGAGATCATCATGACCAAGGTGAGAGGAACGGAGTGGCAGATGGGTGAGAAAAGAGGAGGCAATGTGCTGCATCATGCCTTCGCTGACACATCCATTTATGTACTCTTACCAAAGTCAACACAGGCTCGTAAATGCTTTAAATCATCCATCCGCTGTGTAATGTTCCTCCCATCCCCCCTCCCCCCGTCCCCTCTTCCCCAGGGCTATTTTGATTTAGACTATATGCATTCAGGCAAGTTGACTGAGTACAGCGACGTATACAGCTTTGGCGTGGTGTTGCTGCAGCTCGCCACGGGGAAGCAGGCGCTCATCACGAGCGGGCACGAGATTGTGCCGCTCAGGCAGCACGTCTTGAACCTCGCCTTTGGCCTGGATGGCCTCTCTGCCGTGGTCGACCCGTGCCTGCTCGGAGCCGGGCAGATAGTGGCGGGGCTTCAGGCCACATTCAGCACGTTCCTGCACTTGGCGCTGTGGTGCACCGAGGAGCACCCCAAGCGGCGCCCCAACATGGTTGACGTGGAGTCAGCACTGCGTGACATCGAAGCTGCTGCTGCTGCCGCTGCTGCAGCTGATGCTGGTGGGTTTCAAGCGGTGCACCAGCATCATGGTTTAGCACGAGGGGCGAATGGGTTGGCTCCCCAAAGGGGCCCTGGGCTTGTCGCTGGGGTGCACCCCCCTCCATCCAGTGCCGCCCAGGGGGGTGCAGCAGCGATGGGAAACAGGTCCGCTGGTGGCTTGCCTGCTGCAGCTGGTGGACTCACAGCAGAACAAGAGGAGACTGAGGCAATGACCGGCCCGTGTGCTCGATAGTGTGTGCAGCAGTCTCAAGAGTGATGCATAGTGGAATGATGATGACTAGCAAGATGGGAGATATGTCAGAATATGATATTGGGGTACGCTGCAGTGAGTACAACCCTGATAGGGTGTCCTACTTGTATCCCACCTGCCTGTTAGTCAAACCCTCTCTTTTTATCGTTCTAACTTTCTAGCTGTTGTTTCAACATGCTATCAGAGCAGGTCGACCCTCCCTGGTCGATCCTATGGGTGAGCCCACCCTATGCTTCCGCTGCTGTCCTGCCTATCACGCGCCCTGGGCGCGCGACGTTTTCTGCCCGCCGCGCGCTCGGGGCGCGCGGCGTTTTTTCTTCCCGAGCGCGCGGCGGTTTCCTGCCCGACGCGTCACCCCGTGGGACCCGCGCGTCCCCCCCCTCCCCGCTCGTCCCGCGCGACGCCCTGCGGGACCCGTGCGTTGCCCCGCTGGACCCGCGCGCCGCCCTCGCTGGACCCGCGCGACGCCCTGCGGGACCAGCACGCCGTCCCGTGGGACCCGCGCGCTGCCCCCGTCGACCCGCGCGTCGCCCCAGGGGACCCGCGCGCGCTGCCCCGTCGACCCGCGCGCTGCCCCCGTCGACCCGCGCGTCGCCCCAGGGGACCCGCGCGCGCTGCCCCGTGGACCCGCGCGCACTGCAACGTGGAGCTGCGCGCCGCCCCTTGCCCTCGTGCAGCTGCGGGGCGGCTTCTTCCCCCCCCCCCCCCCCCCCCCCCCCCCCCCCCCCCCCCCTCCTTCCCCGTCGTCTCTTTGCTGCGCGTGCTGTCAAGAGAACTAGCACGAATGGGATCAACTAGAATGAAGTTGGGTACAAATGTGAAACCCTGAAGGGGCTATACCCCATATGGGCTACCCCACTACAGCCTACACATATATATTACATATATAATTTGACACACCCCCATAGGCAAAGTGGGGGAGAGCAAGGGGTCACAAGACCAGTCAAGCAAAGCAAAACAAGCTCAGGGTGGATCACAACGTCACCACACACACTGAGCACAAGCAAAGGGCCACAAGGCCAGTCCACATGCAGAGGTATATATGCAACAGGAACAGCACAGTGATCACCACCTAGCAAGAGCAAGCATGCAGGTATATATGTATATAGATCACAGTACAAGCAAAGCCTACAGCAAGTGTGGAAACGTAGGTACAAGGCCTAACAAGATACATAAGCGCTGATGATCACCAGACGGAAGTGCCTTGGTGAATATATCAGCAGTGTTGGCCCGAGTGGCCATGTGAGCAAGACGAAGCTGACCTCGCTGCTGCAACTCTCGAGCCAGGAAGTAACGCAGAGCGATATGCTTCGTTCTGTGCTCCAGTCTGTGCTCCTGACACAAGGCAATGGCGGCCTTGTTGTCAACGACCCAGTGAAGCCAGGTGGGCGGCGCAGCCAGATCTCCTCGTGCAGGCTGCCCTGCAAGAAAGCTGTGCTGAAGTCAAGAGAGTGAAGCTCGTAGTCACGCTGAGCGGCAACGTGCAGCAGCACCCGAAGAGTGGTCATCTTTGGGGTGGGGGAGAAGGTCTGGAAGAAGTCAACTCCCTCTCGCTGACTGAAGCCTCGAGCAACGTAGCGAGCCTTGAAGACAGGCGGAGAACCCGGCGGGCGCTTCACCCTGAAAATCCACATGCCATCGACGATGTTCACCCTCAGGGGCAAGCAACATGGCCACGAGATGAGGCGCAGCGGCTGCAAGACACTCAAGGTCCTCGTGCCTGTCCTCAAGGACGTCCGTGCCAAGAGCACACTCACCCCCGACGGACGGAGGACAGACAGACGCAGACTCAGCAACAAGGCTAGCAGCGTAGTCTAGACGACAGGCAGCAACAAAGTCAACAAGCTCAGCGACTAAGGCAGACGCAGCAGCAGACTCAAACGACGGGTCAGTGAGAAGAGTGGCTAGCAGACGCGTGACAGTAGGGTGCTCAGCACGAAACCGGTCAGACTCAGGGTCCAGAACGTCAGGCAAAGAAGACGCAGGAGGAGACGGCAGAGGAACACGCTGTGGAACAGAGGAAGGACGAAGTGCCATAATGTGCGTGCCAGGGACAGGAGGAGGACGCTCACGACTAACACAACCAGTGCGACCAGTGCAAATAGGCGAGACAGGACGGGACGCAGGCTCGCGACGCTCAGTAAGACCTCCTGTCTGCTCAGTGTAAGGAGAGGGAGCCTGGCAGGGGGGAGCCTGGAAGGACGGCGGCGACGGCAGAGAGAAGAACAGTCGCTGCGCAGTAGTGCCACCAGCACCAGTAGCGTCAGTGCCTCCAGCAGCTCCAGAACCTCCAGCAGCTCCAGACCCTCCAGCTCCAGCTCCTCGAGCGCCAGCACCACCAGCAGCCACGGAACCTCCAGCGCCAGCACCGCCAGTACCAGCGTCACCAGCAGCAGCACCCCCAGAACCGGCAACTCCAGTCCCAGTGTCTCCAGCAGCAGCACCCCCAGAACCGGCACCTCCAGTCCCAGGGTCTCCAGCAGTAGCACCCCCAGACGCAGCACCTCCAGCCCCAGCAGCTCTAGTACCTCCAGTACGAGCACCTCCGGGTCTAGCGGCTCCAGCACCTCCAGCAGACAAAGTACCCGCTGGACTCCCAGCTCCAGTGTCAGCAGCTCCAACAGCACCTCCTGCGGCAGGGTCAGCAGTACCACCAGCTCCAGCGTCCTCAGGCCCAGCGGCTCCAGCGTCGTCGGCACCTCTCGCACCAGCCCCAGTACCCTCTGAACCGGCACCCCCAGCTCCAGGGACGTCAGCAGAAGCGCCTCCAGCAGCAGAGCCCCGAGCTCCAGCAGCGCGACCCTGACGGCGAGCGTACCACTCGTGCAGCTGCTGTGGGGAGAGAGGCGCACGCGGATGAAGGCGGCCACTCCAAGGAGACCGCGCACAAGCAGTCTCAGTACCCTCAGGCGCCGCACCCCCAGACTCAGCACCCCCAGACGCAGCACCCCCAGACGTAGTACCTCCAGTCTCCTCACGCTCAGGCTCAGCACCTCCAGGCCCAGCACCCCCAGGTCCCACACGCTCAACCTCAACACCCCCAGACTCAGCACCCCCAGGCTCAGCACCCCTAGGCTCCGCACGCTCAGGCTCAGCACCCCCAGACGCAGCACCCCCAGGCTCAGCACCCCCAGAGACAGCACCCCGAGCAGGACCACCCCCAGCAGGACCTGAGTCACCAGTGACCTCAACAGGCTCAGGCACAGGAGGGTCTACCTGAGAAACACCTGAAGGAGCAGGACCTGGCGCGGGGAGGGGGTCTACCTGGGGAGGACCTGGAGCGAGAAAGAGCGGAGGGGGGGGGGGGCGAGCGGCAGTGCGGTAGGGAAAGAGACGGTAAAAGGGGACCGACTCGTCGAAGGTGACGTCCTGAGACGCAAAGACACGGCGCGAAGCGGGGTCGTAAAACTGCCAGCCAGGCGCGTCAGGAGGAAAACCAAGGAAGACGCAGGGAATGGCGCGAGCGGAGAGCTTGTCCGCGGTGGTATCGCGGACAAAGGCACGAGCACCCCAGACTCGGAAGCGCGACGCATCGCCAACCTCCCCCGTCCACAGCAGTGTGGGCGAGGTCTCCGGCAAGGAGACACGGGGCCAGAGGTTGAGCTGATGCGCGGCGTACCGGACCGCAAACAGCCACAGAAAATGGGGGGCAGCCGCATGGATCATGGAGGTACGAGCGACCTCCATGACTAAGCCAATGCGGCGCTCAGCAACCCCATTCTGCTGCGGAGAGGCCGGAAGCGTGAACGACTGGCGGATGCCGTGCTCCTCACAGAAGGCTCGCAAGAGGTCAGAGGTGAACTCACCACCTCTGTCAGAGTGCAGACGCAGGACAGGAAAGTCCGACTAGAACCGCTCGCGGAGCTGGAGACGAACAGCACGGATCCAGGGGATCAGAACATCAGGGACCTGACCCTTGCTGCGCAAGGGGAAGACCGTGTAGTCGTCGACGACCAGCAGGAAGTACCGCTCGCGGCCCTGTCCCTGGACGCGGGCTGGGCCCCACACGTCCAGGTGGAGAGTCTGCAGTGGAGCCTCTGTGGGAGGGAACGAGGAGGAGTGAGGAGCGGCGCGCTGCCGCCCCTCGACGCAAGGAATGCAGGGCGGCGCAGGCGAGGGCGGGAGGGAAGGCAGAGACCTGGGAAGACCAGAGACCAGTAGGCGAGAGTGCATGCCACGAAGGCGAGGCAGGGAGGGGTGACCAAGGCGGTGGTGCCAAAGGAGAGTCTGGTGCGACAGGCGGCGACACTCACACTGGGTAGCTACCTGAGCGGACGCGTACAGCTGAGGAGACACGAGGGTGTAGCGCGACACAGTGGTGAGGGTGTACAGACTGGACCCTGGCGCACGTGTGAACGTGGCCAGGTGGCAGCCAGACCGAGAGCACGTACAGATCGCCACACGCTGTCCTCCAGGAGTAAAGGTGTCAACCCAATGATCCTGAAGGACGGCATTGCTCACCAGGTTCGTAGAGAACGAGGGGATGTGGAGACCTGACAGCTCACCGGACGGGACCGCCGGACACGGGAGCACAGTACTGGACCGTGCAAGCACTGGGCCTCCAGAGGGGTCAGCCGTGGGGGTCTCACGCTGACGCTGCTGCTGCTGCTGCTGCTGCTGCTGCTGCTGCTACTGCTGCTGCTGCTGTGGCTGCTGCTGCTGCTGCTGCTGCTGCTGCTGCTGCTGCTGCTGCTGCTGCTGCTGCTGCTGCTGGCCACCACTGGAGCTCCCCTTCGGGCCGGCCGCACCCCAGCCCCCACCTCTGCCACCACTACCGCTGCCTCCTCCCCCATTACCGCCGCTGCCTCCTCCACCGCTCCCAATCCCACCGCCGCCCCACCCACCGCCTCCACCCCCACGACCACCCCCACCACCTCCACCACCCCCGCCGCCTCCACCACCGCTCCCTCCACCGCCACCTCCACCACCCCTGCCACCCTTGCCGCCCCTGGTGCCGCTGCGCTTCCCACTAGGAGCGGAAGCAGCTGCGACCTTCTCAGCACCGAGGAGGTCGACAGCAGCAGCAGCAGCAGAGGCGTAGGAGGGGGCAAGAGGGGAGGGGGAGCACCCCTCAAAGAGGGGAGTGCGAGGAGTGCCACGAGCAGCACCTACAGCGAGGATGTTCTTTTCTGCTGCTAGGAGCTGCTGCTCGAAGTCGGCTAGAGTGAGAGTGGTAGGGTCTTTGGCGAGGAAGTGGTCCCTGACTGAACTGAGAGTGTCAGGGAGGCGGGTGACGAGGATGTAGAGGGTAAAGTACAACGGTGGGGGGGGTTCTTGGCGAGGAAGTTGTCTGTAAGGGCGGCACAAAAGTGAGCGTCACTAGCGCGGAGGTGAGAGATAAGGTCCTCAGCGGTGGCAAACGAGGACAGGTCTGGGAACAGGTAGGGCAGGATGAGACGACCTACGGCTGCAGTGGCTGGGGACGAATAGCGCGCAACTACAGCGTCATACAGTGCCTTAGCAGTCTTGTGCTGGCTAAAATGCGCGCGCTCAGTGATCGGCAGATGATTGCGAATAGCAAGGCGCGCAGCAGCATCGCGAGTCTGCCACTATGAGCGGTCAAGAGCAGGAGCAGTGTCAGCAGGAGCAGCGGCAGTGCCAGACGTGTGATCGAACAGTGAAACGCCGTCTTTGGCATCAGTCATAAGAAACAGTTGCAGGTCGTCGAGCCAAGTGGCAAACTCAATCGGGCGACCGTCAGGCTCAAACGCGAGAACATTAAGCGTCGCCATAATCGCAGCGCAGGCGAAGGCAGCAGGCAAAGGCAGTAGGTAACGGCAGCAGGCAGACGCGGCAGGCACAGGCAGCAGGCAAAGGCAGCAGGCACAGGCAGCAGGCAAAGGCAGCAGGCACAGGCAGCAGGCAAGGGTGGCGCGCAAAGCAGCCGCAAGCCGCGCGTGGGCTGTCTGGGCAATGCGCTAGCAACGCAGGTAGCGCGCGGGTGGGGCAGGCGGCCGCGGTAGTAGGGCTAGCGGCGCGCGGGTCTGCGGGGCAGCGCGACGGGCGACGCGTGGGGCCACGGGGCTGCACGACGGGCGGCGCGCGGGGCTGCGGGGCAGCGCGACGGGCAGCGGCAGGGCGCGCGCGGGGCTGCAGGGCAGCGCGATGGGTGGCGCGCGGGGCTGCAGGGCAGCGACGGGCTGCCAAGGCGTGCGCGGGGCTGCGGGGCAGCGCAGCGGGAGGCGCGCGGGGCTGCAGGGCAGCGCGACGGGCAGCGGCAGGGCGCGCGGGCAGCGCGACGGGCGGCGCGCGGGGCTGCGGGTCAGAGCGACGGGCAGTAAGGCAGGGTAGGGCAGGGCGCAGGGTAGCACGCTAACCGCGAGTGGCTGGTGGTGGGCCCTAAAAAAGACGATCCTGAGGTCCTAGGGACCTCCTGCTCTGAATACCATGTCAAGAGAACTAGCAGGAATGGGATCAACTAGAATGAAGTTGGGTACAAATGTGAAACCCTAAAGGGGTTGTACCCCATATAGGCTACCCCACTACAGCCTACACATATATATTACATATATAATTTGACACGTGCAGCCGTGGGAGAGGGTATGTGGGTGGCGGGTACGGGGGTGTGTCAGAATGTTATATTTCTCTAGTCTACAGTGGGGTACTCTATAGTGAGTACAGCCCTGTTAGGGTTTGCTATATGTATCCCATTGTTTGCTAGTGAATGCCCTCTTTTGCCTATTCTCTCTTGCCTAGCTAGCTAAACCCTAGCCATGGCTCTTGCACTCTAGTTACTATTTCAACATGCTATCAGAGCGGTCACGCTCCTGGCCTGTGGGCCCACCCTATGCTTCCGCTGCTGTCCTGTCTGTCGCGCGCCCCGTGGCGCGCGACGTTTTTTCTTCCCGCCACGCGCTCGGGGCGCATGGCGGTTTTCTGCCCGCCGCGCGCTCGGGGCGCGCGGCGGTTTTCTGCCCGCCGTTCGCCCCGAGGCGCGCGGCGGTTTACTGCCCCGCGCGTCACCCCGGGGACCTGCGCGTCCCCCCCGTCGACCGTCGCGTCGCCCCTGGGGACCCGCACGCGCCCCCCGCGATCCCGTCGCGTCGCCCTGGGGACCCGCGCGCGGCCCCCGCCATCCCGTCGCGCCGCCCTGGGGACCCGCGCGCGCCCCCTGCGCTCCCGTCGCGCCGTCCTGGGGACCCGCGCGTGCCCCCTGTGCTCCCGTCGCGCCGCCCTGGGGACCCGCGCGCGCCCCCTGTGCTCCCGTTGCGCCGCCCTGGGGACCCGCGCGCACCCCCCGTGCTCCTGGTGCGCCGCCCCGTGCCCCCGTGCGCTGCGAGCCTTCTTCCTCCCCGCGGGTGGCGGGTGGCGAGTGTGGGGGTGGCGAGTATAGGGGTGCTGGGTGTGTGAGGCCTCCCCTGCTCCTCCTCTCTCCCACTGCTGCAGCTGCCGCTGAGGGGGGTGGGTGTGTGGGAGCCGAAAGAGTTGTGCTAGGGGGTGCAGTGGGATTGGCGCTAGGAGTGCAGCAGGGGGTGTGTGAAAAGGGGATTGAGACAGTGGGGGGAGGTTGAGCTGAGGTAGCCATCTTGACGCCAGCAGCGCCAGTAGTCCGGAGTCGGCGTGCTCCGGTAGCCAGTGAGCCCGTTGCACCAATTGCCCGTGGGTCAGTTGCTTCTGCCGCTCGGCGTAGCCGCGGAGCCAGTTACTCCCCGTAGTCCGGTGCCGTCGTGCTCCGGTAGCCTGTGTGCCAGTTGCTCCAGTCGCCCGTGTGCCAGCAGCTTCGGCCGCCGCCTCCTATCTCCTCTCCTCCCTTAGTTCTTCTTCCTCCGCCTCACTTGCCCTCTGTTTCCACTACTAGCTTATGCATGTGAACTTATTATGTGATTGCTAGCTGTGCTGATTATACCCCACTTTGCCTATGGGGGTGTGTCAGAATGTTATATTTCTCTAGTCTGCAGTGGGGTACTCTATAGTGAGTACAGCCCTGTTAGGGTTTGCTATATGTATCCCATTGTTTGCTAGTGAAACCCCTCTTTTGCCTATTCTCTCTTGCCTAGCTAGCTAAACCCTAGCCATGGCTCTTGCATTCTAGTTACTATTTCAACAGTGGCGGATGTGCGTCGTCCCTTGCTCCCCAAAGGGGCCCTGGGCTTGTCGCTGGGGTGCACTCCCCTCCATCTTGTGCCGCCCAGGGGGGTGTAGCAGCGATGGGAAACAGGTCCGCTGGTGGCTTGCCTGCTGCAGCTGGTGGACTCACAGCAGAACAAGAGGAGACTGAGGCGATGACCGGCCGGTGTGCTCGATAGTGTGTGCAGCAGTCTCAAGAGTGACGCATAGTGGAATGATGATGACTAGCAAGATGGGAGATACAAATGCTAGACCTAGAAAGTGTTGTACTCCCTACAGCTCTAATCTCTATAGTCTATGAACATAATGTATAACATTTGACACACCCCCATAGGCTAAGCGAGGGGCATGAAAACAAGTACCGTATGGGCCCGAATATAGGCGCCGTTTGATTAAAGGCGCCGGCGCTTATATCTGGAGCATGGCGCTTATGGCCGAAACTCGATTATTAGCGTCCCCCCTGTAAACCCTTTACTTATTATAAGCGCACGTACAATTTGAAATCATGTTTAAAATGGTAACGATATTCATTTTTGCAGCGAGTCTTTTTTCAATTTCGCTTCGTTTGACTCGCAAAGACCTGACTGGCTGCGCGTCCAGTCAGGATGTGCTGGCATGAG